CCCATTAGTTTAGTTCGTCGATCTTCTTTTTTCTGGTTAAGAACACTTTTAGCTTCCTTAGCATGGATCTATAGAACAGTTAGTACGGCGCCTTCGATTTTATCCCTCTTGCGCTCTAGAGTGCATAAGACCTGCAACATCTTAATAATCCTGCCTTGATTGTTACTGGTTTTTGCTTGTAGGTTTATGTTTAAGTTTAAAGTCTTAATACGATCGAAAACCTATTTAACTTTAAGTTTTTGGGCTAGAAACTCTTTTGCCTGTAAACTTTATTGATTCTTGTTTATAATACCCCTTCTTAACTCCCCATCAACCTTGCTGTTCTTTTAACCTTTATTATCTTTTATTGTTTGTTTTTATTGCTTTCATCATTAGTTCAATCATTTTTATTAATATGTTTACAAGCTACGTACAGGACAAAACCATTTATGAAATGGAATTTGAAGTGGTAAAAAGAGGCCAAGAATTACTACTTTCATAATTATCTGCCTCATTAGCCTATCGCGAGTCGGCTTTTTCTATCCGTACCATACGTAGGCCACCACCTGTTAATATCGGGATCAGAATAAGAAAATGCTAACAAAAGGACAAAGCATTCTTACCTTATGTTGGTATACACTGGGTAAAATCGTGCTCGACCGTACAGAAGAAAAGGGAAATCGTTTTGCACACACCGATTTTGCATCTTGGCGACCAATCTGGAAATGACGCCACTTATTAACTTTATCGCAAAGGTTGAGCTCGTTCTTAAGACCCTAGTCGATCTAATCAACGATGTCCCGGATAACATGGTGACTGCGGCTCCAACCATTTTGCCTCCAAGCAGTTCGTAAGAATGAAGAGTTAATCTTTAAAAATCGATATTTTATTTTGAGCCCCTGTTTCAGAAGATAAGCCTGGGACAGTATAATCCCTTTAAAAAGCTTGCTGCAAAAAGGCAAAGTCTTTAGCGATATTCTGAATGACTTGGTTACCTAAGATCTTACCCGCTGAGACAAGAAGCTTATTACTTTTAGTATTTCTGCTGCCCCTTTGGTGCTTGCGGAACTTGTGAAGTAGAGAGGCCATGGCTAAGTAGCCCACCTTTATCCTTTAGCTTAGCTGGAAAGAGCAGCAGAACCGAGCGGCCGCTACTGTTTAATATAGACCTACGGAGGAAAGGAAGAAAACAAAGCTACGAACGTGTTTATTACACGGATATTGCTACATAACGTATGATCCTTTACATGATGTTGAACTTGGTACGTAGTTTTTGGGAGCTTTTGATACCTTCTTAGACTAATTCTGAGTGTTATAGTGCTGAAGAATACGAGCGGCAGCTCAAAATTTCCCATATCCCCATATGATGACAGACACTAAACAGGGATAGTAGCAACTTCAAGTTTTTAAAAGGCTTATCTATCCCGACAAAGGAACTTTATGCTACAAAAGCTAGCATACATTTAATAATTCCTAAGGAGTTATAAGTTCGTTAGCATAAGAACACAAATAACTTAACAAATTGGAAACGCATTTCCCCCTATTGTTGTGGAAATATTGTATTGTTATCTTAGAAAATGGCTATTACAGCAAGACCGGGTTATGCCTTTGTATTATAGCACCATAACTCTGGATTCCGTTGAAGATGCGGTATTTATATTATAGCCTTCTAAGTTGAAAGACCTTGTTGTGATCAATGATGGTGATGACAAAGAATACCATTATTAAGAAGCATTAGCTCTTATTAACGTCCACGTTGAAGAAGCTATTTCGATCGACAACTACGAAGATGCGATTATGATAAACCTTAGGGTGCATGCTCCTTTATACCACCCTATGTATGCATATAAAAGCTAACAGCCAACAGGAACACACTAAAGCTTTGCGAGCAAGACGGATAACAAAAAGCCACCCTGTTTTAGTCACCTGTATTCATAATAGCTACTTAACGAAGTGATGATAAGAGTATTTCTAACGAAAGTAGAGAGAAGGGTCTTGCTACTAGGGTTGATGGTGGGGTTTAGGGAGCCTCCGTCGCGTTGCCTGACGGGCCAGCAACTCAGGCAACCAGCAGCAACAACACCACCAATAATCCTACGATCGTTTCCAACATTAACAAAACGGGCCATGGGAGTTTTAGTGGCGGACAAGACATTAATGATCCTTAGCGGGCGTCTGATATTAGCACTAATGATAACGTCGTCGAAGATTACGCAGGCTTCTCACGCGAAAGCTTACGAACACTTTTAGCAGAAAGTCTGCCATTACTTATTGAAATGGAAATAAACAACGAAAGCATTACCGCAGATAATGCTAGCAAATACCATAAGCCACTATTGCTCTTAATTCTACCAGACAATTATTATTTGTCGATTTTATCCTTATACTAGGCTTGTTTTACGAAGTATTACCATATTTTACTTAGATGTTATTATTGAATTAAAAATGGATCGGGGACTAGGGGAAATGATCGACCTAAAGGAAGCAACGTGGTTATTGAATTGCCGTTCTTAACTTTAACTTAGTCAGCTTCTTATTACAAGGGGTTTGTCCCTCCTGCTCTTAAGCATAGCAAGATATGTGCTATTAGTGCTTTTCTTAAAGAGTTAGAGTTTTATGGCAAGGATATTAATAACATTAAATAAGAACTGAATCATTTTTTAATATATATTGATAATAGTACTTTCTTTAACAAGCTTCGACCACTTTAGCACCTTATATCGCGAACTATTAAATGCATATATTTTAATAGTGTTCTGCAAAATAAACATAGTAAATTCTATTTCTGCCAGGTCCTATTTCATAAGCTTCCTGTTAGTAACTATAGCAAGTTAACTTATACTATTAATAATCAGATCTGGATCCTATTTAAATTTAATAAAGATTTAGGCAGAAAGATTTATTACAAGTTATAGATGCCTGCGCCCAAGTATTAAAGATTCCATACACCGTTCCTATAGATCGCAGATCTGGCTAAGCACGTTATCAATTACTGCAAATATTATTAAACGAGGAATGTACGTATAACTTTTTGCAATTTCGAATCCCGGTTCAATACTTAGATGCTGTCTACGCATAAAAGTTCGGTGGTATTCAACAAGTGGCACGCTGCCAATGTTTACACCAACTTTTAAGGGCCTCTTATTATAAATATGGATTATATCTTTGCATAAGCAAATAGTATTAATCCTAAAATCACATCCTGGCATTATTTTTAGAAAAAGGTTAAATCCTTTAATTACTACCAACCGAACTTAAGCTTAGATCTTTCTTTTAAGCAAGGCAAAATGCTGCACTGCGTGGAAGTAGCCCTAAGAAGCCTTAAGAACAATACTATATTACAAACAATCGTCACCCCTTATGTTTATAACCTATTCTCTTACATGGTTTTTAGCAAGCTATTAAAACCAAAAAAAGCCACGAGGTCTGTAAAGATAGAGAAGACCAAGTTTATCAAAAACACACAATCTATGCATATCTAACCTAGAGCATTCCGTAGCATAAGACATAGTTCCACGGATCGGATTACTTTTAAAAAAGTATTGAACTGGGCGATGTTATTTCTACATTACCTAATGACAACATAACTACAAACACAAGATGGAAACGTAGAATATTTAGACATTACCAAGGAGAGTACTATTAATATAGCCTTATCTAAAAAGTCCACAAAGCTTTATATAGCAAGCGGTTTTTCGACATGTTGTAGTTATATCAACCAATTAATATACTTTGTTCTATGATGAAGTATCCGTAGGCAAACGAACTTTTCTTCTTAGATAATTGCATATGTTACTTTAGCATTAGGAAGGTTTAAAGTCATGATATTCTTTCTACTTACGAAGTAGAATGGTTTGGTAGTCCCTTAATAGCTGCAGAGTTCTTCGTGCGGCAGATATATGTTGCAAACAACTGCCGGTAGACCTCGCTTTGTAAGGAGTACTTTGTTTACAGCGATAAAAATGCATTTTCACAAGAGCCAGATCCTTTAAATTAGTACCGTACTGGCAACACTGTGTTAGTAAAAACTAAAAGGATGTATTTAGAAACGTTCATTATCGAATGTCTCTTTAAGGAAAAGGGGAGACGGTATGTTTGAATGCAACGGCTATGGCAGAGGAAGGATATTAATAAGGACGCTTGTTCAGCACTTTTAAACGAATTAGTATATTTACAACAATTAGTTGAGATAGAGGCTAGGAAGATTGATCGAACGGGATAGGCATCCTGGTTCATACCGCAACCATAGGAACCCAAACAATGGTGGGAATCCAACCTATTTAGTCGAGCAATGCTTGCACCTAGGCATTCGGTCTTATTGTTCTTACTCTTCCGAGTTATCCATTTTATATTCCTGCTCATCCACTTTGTACTTGTAGTCCTGCTTATCCATTTCGTAATCTTGCTTCTTTACTGGCTTGATATTTTCGTCTGATTGCTTATGGACATCAGAGCACGTATCGCCGTCCAGGAATTTAAGTCAGAATATAACATGGGTTTGATTGTTGCTAGTGAGGAAACTGTCCTAGTGAAGCTTTGCTTCGTCGGCACTAGTAAAACCGACGTTGTTAGCGATCTTCTGCTAATTAATCTGTAGCTTTAAATTAGTTAAGAACTTTAAGATAACTGTTAAGGCAGATTAAGGGAACGTATAACAGGTTTGACTATGAAGTACTTCTAGAGCTTTGTTAGTACGAACAAGTCCTTAGCGGTAAGGCTGGTGGTAACGTTTATTGTAGCAGCCTAGTTAATAATTAAACGTTAGTATTATATAGATAGATAGCTACCTACTAAACTGAAGATGCAAGCGAAAGGAAGAGTTCCTCGAGGGTATTGATTGTGCAATAGCTAAGGAAACAGGTAATAAGGACGTAGGAGGGGATACGGCAAGGCCACAATTTAAACTTGTAAATGAAACTTTATGATTAAGCAATGCTTTCGTTTTTAGCAAAGGAAGTATGGCTAAATAAAAATTGAGGTTACTTATAGTCCTCAAAAAGAAATAACAAATGTGCTCTGAACGCCCTAGCCAGGATTTGAACCTGGGGCCTATAGCTAAAAGCTATAAATGTTACCACTACACCACTAGGACGCAAGGAGTGCGTCTCCTTGGATGCATTTCCTCAGTCTAATCCTAGTATTTATTAATAGGTGCTGGCCCGTACAAATAAAAGAAGCTAACTCGCAATATGCTGCATACGCAAAGCGCAATGGCGGCAGAGCCGGCGGTTAGTTTAAGGCGAGGCCACGCAGGGCGCTACTTTCGTTGGCCTGTATTATTGTATGTATGGTAGGTATATGGCCATAGCCCTTAAAAACGAAGGCTTCCCTGCCCCTGGATAGAAGGGGCCTTTAGTGAAGTACTGCAAGTTGAACTGGACTACAGATTGAACTGGACTGCAAATTAAAGAACTATAACTGTAGCAAGTAGATATTTAATGTTATAAAAGTAATAGAAGTAATTAATATTTGCTACTTATGCAGCCTTTATACCTTTTTTATAGTATTATATTACAAGTCCTTTGAAATAGTTTGCTAAGGCGCTAAAACTGTTAAGCTTTTTTAATATATTTCATAAGCTTAGTTAGGTGATCTTTTTATACGTGATTAACCTTAAGTACTATTTAAATCTAATATTTACGCTTTTTTATATTATTTATTTTTCGGCAGCTTATAAATAATAAGCGGAACAGTATTAATGGCGTTTAGTACGCCTAGCGCTGTTAGCTGCAAAGGCGGGTTAATTGTGTGCACAGGCAGGAGTTATAACGTTTACGCCTTTGTTTCTGCGTCTATGTTTATAATATGAGGTTTATTCGAGGTATCCGAATAATTAATCTACTGATATATGGGTGGGCGTAATGCTAATGCAAAAGAAATCAAAGCTATTGCACAGCAATCTAAATTCTTAAATAGCAGCTCTTTCTTTCCTTACTTACTTAATGCTTTTTTTTACTTATTTAAAACTTTCCTACTTATAACTCTTATTTTTATTTTTACAGTCATCTTTTAAACTCTCCTACTTATAACTCCCATCTCCATCCTTACAGTTATTTCCAAATTGCGCTTATTAATTAATCAATAACTCTTTTAATTTTACTACCTTATTCATTATCTGTAATGGCATGCACCAAACAGACCCCGTCTGAATCTATTAGCGGAAAGGCTCCCTGTAAGCAGCTTGCCTCCAAGGCCGCTCGCAAGTCCGTTATCAAGTCGGCTTCCTCCACCAGAAGTATCAAAAAAACTCGAAGATATAAGCCCGGTGTCCTCGCTCTTTGTAAGATTCGGAGCTACTAAGCTAGAACTGATCTTTTAATCTCTATGTATCCCTTCCAGCGTTTAATAAATTACATCCTATTTTTGCCTACTTAGAGACGGCCTTGTTGTTATTCTTAATTACTACCAATATATAATAACAGGCCCAATTGCCTCGACTACAATTGTAATAGGCTACGTAACATGTCCCCCTTTTTTATTTAGGTTACCTTATTACGATTATGTAGTTTATTCTTATACTAACGTAATATAAATAGGTGCGTAGGATTGCGCACGATATAAAGCCAAAGCTATGATTTTAAGCTTCCGCCATTAGTGCACTGCAGGAATCCGCCAAGGCCTACATCATCTCTTTCTTTAAGGACACTAACTTTTGCGCCATTTATAACAAACGTATTATTATTTAAGCGGTTAGTACACCCATAATTACATATTAATTAATACATGCACTAACACTTTTATAAAAGGATATTTAGCTTGCTTGTTGCTTTCGTGGTAAGCGCAACTAAAGCGCTACTATGCTTTTAACAGAATAGACTCAACAGGACAGTAGAATGTGTGATACAACTTTTGATGATTTTTTTAGGATAGCATGACGATTTGGTTTTTATAAGGAAAAGGTAATCCTGGTGTTAATGTTTGCATTGCTTTAAAAGCATAGGTCGTATATCAGTGACATAGCAGTAGCTATCGAGCACTGCAATACTGAACATATAAATCTAAACATGAACTAAACAAAATATCCTTATTATCCTATTTTTTCTACTGTGCATGCCATTATTTGCTAATTTTAATTATTATTTAATAAATGCTTTAATCATTTATAAAGTAATTGCGGCGGTTTAAATAGGTTCCGTACAATTATTTAAAGTGGTGATCTCTCTGATCAAATAATTTAACCTTTTCTACTTATAACTTATAATTAAAATCACTAGCAGTAGGTGGGTGTGCTAGAAAGCAGCATGCAAGCTGGTGCAGTTATTGTGGCTAAGGATATTTAATTATTTAAGTGCCATGATTACTGGCACTAGCGTGCGCGGGTGCTGCATGATCGATTTGATCCTATTGATTGCGTGCGGCTACTTATGATTGCGGCAAGATTTTACCTAGGCAACGCCAGGTGCTGCGATTACAAGTAGCTACGGGTACAGAATAATCAAAAGATCGAAGGTGAGGTGGGCGACAGCGCGGGCTGCTGAGCAACGCGCAATTAGCGCTGATTGCCCTAAACATAAATATTTCTTTTTGCTTCTCTTATTGTGCTTTCTCCCCTTTTCTCTCTCTGGCTACCTGTGATTATTGCGCCGGTAAGTAATATGTACACCCCATGATCTCCTATACTTTTACTAATCCTTTAGGATAGTTTAATTTGTTATTTAAGTTTTGTCTTATTAATTAAGGTAAGTTATTATGTGTGCACCCCTAATATGTTCAAGATAGTTGGGTTGACAAGTAGTTAGTCCTATGCCAATTATTATGCCTCCTTCTAACCCTCCGTCCGCTCAGCGCGGTTCCAAGCATAAGCCGGTGCTTACTAAGAAGTAAGTTTATTCTTAGATGCTCCCAGGTTAATACTTTATTTAACGCAGATGGTAGGAATATGTCCGCGGACAAGCGTGACAAGATCGCTATCCCTACGTCCCAACAGTCGAAAGCTGATCGTAAAGCGCGAAAGAAGGAGCGTTGTTGGGCTATGCGCGCTGCCGCGGCCACCAAGAAGAAAACGCCGGCTTCCCCTCCCGCCCCTAAGCCTACATTAAGTGGCGAAGAAGAAGATTCGCTCGATCATTTCCCTCTGCTCCCGTTAGCTAATGATGAGCTTAAAGCTCCCGTGCGTAAGCTTCCATTCCGGAAGGCTGTGCGGTCTGCCCCCTGCAACTATGAAGAGCTCACTCTTGTCGAGCGTTTATACGTGACGCCTCAGCGTTAGGTGTCTGTGGATGAGCGTTGCCCTGCCCTTTGCTCCGTTGGAGCTGTTTATTCAGGTTCGGGTTTAGTTCAGATCTCGCCGGATCTTTGGGCCTCGGCTTCGGCTGGTTATGCTATGTCTCGGGTTCCGGTTGCTCCGCCTTCGGCTGCTCTACCTGCTTGTGTTAAGAACGCTCCTCGGTTGGGTTTTGCGGATTTCCCAAGCTTTGACGATAATGAGGAGGACATTCCCGCAACGCCTCGGCGTTGCCGTTTTGTGGGCCCTGCGCCTATTAATCCCCCGCATGTTAAAGTTACTGAGCCTGAAAATGCGGTTATGGCAGATGATGATGATTACTTTGTTCTTAGCCCTTCCCCCAGTATGCCGCCTGGACGCTCCCTTCGTCCGAAACATCCGAAGGGTGCTCAGCGCCCAATTCTTTGCTATGTATGCGTCAAGTTTGGTATGGTGGGGCGTAAGGATTTAGCTGGCTGTCCTCTGGACGGCTTATGCTATGACTTAATTAATAGCAGCTCCCGGTGCTGGCGGTGCTTATCTGGTTATACTTATGATCCTTTGTATGTAACTCTGCTTATTTCATAGTTATATCTATATGTTAATCACCATCTAGCGATAAACATGTGATACTTTTTGCGTTTTGGTTGGCTAATGCTTTAGGTGATTTATCCACCAACCCTTGGGTAAGCTTATACTTGTTCGCGGTGATCGCTTCGTGTCTAACGTTTTTAGGACCTTGTTTAGTTGTGCAACGCGGTTTGCGTTGCTTTAACGATCACTAAGGACCAGTTCTGTGAGGACTCGAGCTTGGTTTCTACCGTTGGTCCCCCTTCGCGGGGTGGTTCTATATACTCCAGTCGCACTACGCGCTCGTTATCGCGCGCTGCTGCTCTGGCGGCTAAAGAAGATGACTACATGGAGATCTCGTTGCAGCACATGCGCCCGCATGCTTCGGCTCAGGTTGAAGGATGTCTGTCGGGAATTATTGGACAGGTTGATCGTCTTCGTGAGCTCCTGAACTAGTTAGGGTCTCGGCATGTTTGTTAGTATGTTAGTATGTTGGTAGGATTTTGGGTTATGTATATAAATGATCCCGCTCGGGATTAGTTTGTGTTTACGTGTCTAGGGCAGTATACTGCTCGTAAATAAAAGTCTTGTCTGCCGCCTCTTTATTCATTTTTTTTTAACTATATAGCTTACGTCTTATAAATTAATAAAGGCTTTAAAGTGTTTAAACTAAGCTCTAGACATTATTTTGGTTAATTTATCAGCAGGCATTTAATCCGTTGCCAAATAAACTACCTTGCATGTACCCTTTCTATGCTCTTATCCGAGCCATATGTTCTAAATATCTATATGGCGGAGCTAAGTGCTTATTCTTTCGTTTTTTTCCATTACTAGCCTGATCGCTTAAGTATTGTTTAAGAAAATAGTCCACGGCTCCTTTAAGTCGAGTTAAATATTTTTAAAAAGCTGTTACAGCGCTATAGTTTCTTTGCTAGTGGCTCCTAACGTATTAAGCTCTGCCTCAGTGGTCGAAGTTAATACCGTGCTCTGTCTGCTCGCTTTCTAAATGATTGCACCTTTAAATAACGAGATAATATATCCATGCGATAATTTCCTCAACTCAACATTGTCTACGAATAAAGCGTCTCCGGCAATAAGTAAAGCTTGTGCTCCGGTATCTAATTTGCCGTATGTAATCCTTAAATATCTTGTTGCGGTTAGATATCTGATCATTTGGTTTGCTGCTTTTAAGTGCTGTGGTCCAGGATTCGCTAAATGCTTCGAGAGCTGTGCGGCTGCATGCGCAATATCCGGGCGGATTATTATAACAGTATATAAAATTAACCCTACTCGTTTTTAAAATACCTTGATCTTTACTT